TTTGTGTTTGTTACTCTCTTGTAACACCTCTAACCTTCAGCTCTTATATATCACCTCATCGAGTTGCATGTGCCGTAAAACTCTTACTAAAACTAAACTAGCATATTTGCAGCTGGGTATAGTGAGGAAAATGAGGCATAGTAGCTCTGCTAAGGACACAATGTTCAAACCAAGCAATCAATTAGCAGTATATCCCGCCTATCTACCTTAACTGTACCATGAGTTATCTCAATGGAGCAGAGGAAAAAATCCAATGACCTACTTGACACTGTTGACCTCTAGAAAACCTCCAACTCAGCACGTTTCCTGAGCTGATAGAGATTTAGGCCAAAGATTGTATGTATAGACAGGTGTATCTCAACTCTTTGTCAAAAAATGAAATAAAGCATGCTTTAACTTATTGTAACATCATTTGTTTTGAGGTTGTTTTTTTTCTTTTTAAAGTACGTGGTAGACTACAAATCAATTCTTGTTGACTTTCTCACTGGTTAGTTTCTTGACCTCCAAATCGTTCAAAACGATGCAGCTGGCTGTATTTTCAAACAACAGGAAACGATACATGATTTAGGTGTACCACATAAATCCTGTTTAAACTATCTATGAAAGGTCATTTTAAAAATGTTTTTTCCTCACTACAAATGTTTGAACTACATAAGACCCATGTATTGGAATTTTATTTATAAAAGTCAGTCTTTGTGTTCCAATACCCAAGCATGTGTGGATACAGTCAAACCTGCTCAAATGGCCGCTTCCCACATGTCCCCCTGACGTAATATTTACGTTATAATATCACTCTGTGGGACATTCAGCTGTCTAAGAAGACAACCACTCTTCTCTTCAACAGTGGGTGGCCGAATTAATTAATTTTTACTATATGCATAATATTATGTACATTGTATATATATGTGAGGCAGGGTGATAAAATCAGGCTCTCGTCAATTTTTGTGCATGTAGAGTTATAGGTATCATCTTAAAGCTTATTCACTTGTCTTTATTTGGATGAAAAAAAAATATTCATTTATCTTGAATACAAGTCGAGATATTTGTGAAAGAAGGAGGTGGGCGTCACCTGTTTTCTGAGGTAAAATTAGTGAGAAAATGCCCGCCAAAGATTAGTTATATCCTTAGCTTAAGAGTCCGTGGTAACTGAAAATTTACTTTTTTGTGCATTTAATCGACGCTTTTCAGAAAAATCAACACAGAAATGAGTTCTTTAATGGGCATGAAAGGCGTTGAGCCAAAAACAAAAATTTGATAAAAATTCACGAACCTGCGGGAAAATGCAAGTTTCTTCACTTTGATTATTTTGACGAGAGCCTGATTCCACCACGCTGCCTCATATAAAGTGTAATATATAATTTGCAAGGGACAATAATATGTTCTTTTAGTACAAGTTTAAATTGATAATTTTTAGGAGAAATAAAGAACGATTTCAATTCTTTTACAAATTGTACCTACATTTTGTAACTTTTCATGCTTTTTTTTTTCTACATTTAGAATTGAATTTCAACCAAATATTTCACGAGTAGCCTATGCAACTGATGCCACAGATGAATAAACTGCAATAATGAAATGTTTCAAAATTTTAGTCTTTGTACATCTAGTATCTGAACAGCTAGCCAGCTGATGACATAGTGTCAATTTTCAACCTTCCCTTAGTTCTCTAGCTCTGTATGGGGGAAGAATTCATTGTTTTGTCATTTCCACCTGATCCTTTCTGTTTGACCTGTTAACCTCTTCACTGCTGTGTAGACGTACTGGTTTGTATTCCCCAAAACTGGTTCTCTTCCCATAATTTGTTTACCAGTTTACAGGGAAGTGCAAGAAGATGCAATTACGACTGTGAAGTTCTGTTTTATTAACTTAGGAGAAATACACCATGGCTTTGTCCCTTTTGAATGAACGTTTTATCTTGTCTGTACAAATGTTGATGGACACGTCTCAGCAATGAAGGGGTTAACTACTTAACCATCATATTTTGGGGAAAATCCAAAGAAACTTGGGTGGTAACGTGTTAAAGAAGAACATCTTGTTCACTCACACTCAACAAAACTCAGTTTCCAGGCTCGCGAGTGGTTGGGTGGGTGCTCTGATGTGGCTTGCTCAGGCTTTTTTCCTATCAAACTGGTATTTTCCTAATTCCTCCTCCTTCTTTTCCTTGTACTTTCTCCTAACAAACACCATCTCTAGTCTTGGGCACTAATATGACCTCTTTATGATGCAGGTGCCATAAAACCAATAAAACTCCTACCAGGTACTAAAACTAAAATCAACTCTTTCCATGCTGCTCGCCCCACTCTATGCCACCAGTCTGTGTAATACTTATAAAAGTGATTGTGCGTGGGAAGAATTAATGAACATCTTGTTATAAGTATTCATATGACCTTAGAGCATGCATCAGAAAAACATTGAGTATGTATCTAGCTTAAGTATGTATCTAGCTTAAGATTGTTATTGTTTATAGTACTGTTCATTTATATTATGCATGTGACTGTAAGCCTGCGTGTATATGCATGTTTGTGTGTGTGTGTGTGTGTGTGTGTGTGTGTGTGTGTGTGTGTGTGTGTGTGATGAAACACCAAACCAATGTGCCAGGATCTGGACAATAAAGGTGTATCTTATCTTATCTTATCTTGCACGCTCACACTCCAAACCATCTGTCTCCAGGCTCTGATAGAGAAAGAGTGGCTTTCCTTTGGCCACAAGTTCACTGACCGCTGTGGCCTGCTGGAGAGTGTGGAGACAAAAGAGACGTCGCCCGTCTTCACGCAGTTCCTCGAGTGTGTCTGGCAGATCATGCAGCAGTTCCCATGTGCATTCCAGTTCAACGAGCGCTTTCTCCTGACCATACACGACCACGCCTACTCCTGCCAGTTTGGCACCTTTATCGGGAACTGTGAGAAAGATCGACTAGATCTAAGGTGACAAATGTTTTAGTTTTGTATATATTGAAAGGAATTGAGTGAACATAATGAATGCAATTTTTTAAGCAATTTGAACACTGCTAGAAGGGTTCATTAATATGAACAAAGGTTCCCAACATACAACGAAAAGAAGAAGAAAATAGAATTTACCCCTTGTTATAAAAGAAAATATCTTTTTTTACACATACCTGTAAGTAATAAGAACAAAGGTTCACAACATGACTACTGAAAGAAGAAAATAGAAAGTACCCCTTGTTATAAAATAAAATATTATCTTTTTATAGTGGTAGGTTTACAAATGAAATAAATATTGAAATATTGAAACTGATACATGCAATGAATGAAAAACAAGAAGTCTAATCTGCTGTTCCAAAATTTTTTTATTGATGCTGAGGCCTTCAAAATGTAAAAATTTGAACCTATCAGCTCTTATTAAATTCAATTTTTTCTGCAAGAATAACACAGTCTAACATGCACGTAGGGAAACATGCACAAAGAGAACACATTTTCAGGTCCCAAACTTTTCATGCTTGTAGGCCCTATATAGTATTTGAAACTCATACATTGCGAGTTTTGTATTTAAGGAAAAGATTTCCACATCCCGTTGATTTTGCTATGTGTAAAGACTCTTTGCTGATTCCCTGTTTGGACTTCTCTGTTGACATCCACCCCTTGGCACTCATATGACCTTATGCAGTTGCGAGTGCCGTAAAACCTTACTAAAACTAAACATACCTTCTAAACTGTTGTCTCTGTACCGGGCCTCAGGTTGTCAGAGAAGACATACTCGCTGTGGGGCTACTTGTGGCAGCATGCTGCCGAGTTCCTCAACCCGCTCTACAAAAAGGAGTATGAAATTCGACACCCGCTTATCATGCCCAGTTCAAACCCTCAGGCTCTCAAGTAAGTAGAGTAGGGTGAGCATCTGGTGTGAAGAGGTATTTTAGAACTGTATGTGTGCTCACAACTTTAAGGAGGTGTCATGTTAAAGTCACGTTTCTCTTTTGTTAGAGTCTCATTTTCTTGTGTTACAGATTTCTTTTTGTTAGAGTCTCGCTTCCCCCCCCCCCCCGGGCAGTGCCACTGACTGTAATGTCTTTAGGCCATTCCTAAAGGGGGAGGGACATTTCTCGTTCATGCACAGTAGAATTGTAAATGGGCTGATTCATCATGTCACGCTCATAACAGTGCCTGATCTACAACAGGGAACCGCTGCTTTTTCTTTCGTAATCCTTACTATTGTCATTTTCCTCTACTTCTTTTGTATGTTTGTCACACTCTTGTGACCTGCTATTTCCGGGGTGCCTTGAAAGTGGAAACAGTCTTTCTGCTGTTGAAGCTAGGGAGGTGAGCAGAGTAAGTCTGATTCCCTGTAAAGATTTCTCTGTTGACACCCACCCCTTGGCGCTCATATGACCTTATGCAATTGCGAGCGCCGTAAAACCCTCTACTTAAACTAAGAGTCTAGCTTTCTTGTGTTACAGTCACATTTCTCTTTTATTTGAATTTGTTAGTGTCACATTTTTTCAGCTGAAGTCTCATTTCTTTTTTGACAGAGGTACACTCTTTTGTTTTAAAGTCACATTTCTCTTTTCTTTGGATCCACTTTTCATATCAAAGTTGCCCTTTTTAATTTGGACTTTGAATTATTTTTTTCTCTGTAGTGCAACATCAGACATATCACGTTTCTATGGGGTAAAGCTGTAAAACCTTACTATTACCCTAATTTTCTTGACATTTGGGGAGGCGTAGTGCTCGTTTTACTCTTACAATTGTCCATTTAAGGTTATTTAGTAATCCACTAGTTTTGCTTCTAAACAATTCTACCTTTCATTAGGGACTTATAAAAAGATTTTTCACGAGTTTGACTAGACCATAGAGTTCAGTTAAATGATTCCTGTATAGCTTAAATGGTGGATGTGTGCCAAACATAAGTAGCCATTTGCCAAAAACAAACTTTAAAAAACTCAAAAACCTGTGCGAAGGAATAAGCAATAAACAAAACAAACGCCTTATCGCTAACTGGTAGGCTGCCAATGTGAGGCATCATGGTGAAATCAGGCACTCGTCAAAATAATGAAATCGAAGAAATCTGCGTTAGGCTTTTTTTTTTCAAATTTTTGTTTTTTAGCTCAACACCTTTTATGTCCATGTAAAAACACATAAATATCTGTGTGGATTTTACTGAAAAACGTTGATTAGAGACACCAAAAATGTAATTTAGTTAATAGTAGTTTCCAAGGACTCTAGCTTTGGAAGTCACCCAGCTTTGGTGGCCATTTTCTCACAGATTTTACCTCTGAAACCAGGCTTCTTTCAATGCGAATATCTTGACGTCTATTCAAGGTAGATGGTTTGTTTTTTTTATTTCACCTCGTCATAACACATGTGTGAGGCATTGTGGTGAAATCAGGCGCTCGTCAAAATAATGAAATCGAAGAAATCTCCATTTTTCTGACCATAGGACATTTTTTTTTTAAATTGATGAACACCTGATTGCACCGCACCATGACATATATGTTCTTAATTGAACCATACAGAAGTTTAAGGTTCAAATATGAGTTGCCTATATATTTTTCTTATCTTTCCTTTAATGTCTTTTGCGTCAGCTGAATGTCATGTCAGAAATTAAGCAGTATGTAATGTCTCATAGAATAATGACGTTGTTGTTGTTTTCAAATCCCTTCTGCTGTGAGCATTTCGCACTTGGCAGCGCAATGCCTCCCTCAACTCAGAGAAAATTAGATGTAAACATACTTCCCCTCTCCCCCACTCCCCACTCGCCACCAATTGAACTAGGTCTCAATTCAAGGAATTGTTCTGGTAGAAAAAACTCCTCATGATACTGTACAATTTTAACAGCAGAGTCAAACAAACTACAACCAAGTAATCAATAAGTATTTCTTATTTCTCTCTTGGGTGGTGTCGTTAGTCTAGTGGTTAGGCTACCAGACGTGTAATTGTGAGGCTGCAAGTTCAGGGGTTTGAGGCTCAGATCAGGCTCACTTTGTTTCCTTCAGAAAAACCCTGTTCATGAATTTCCCATATTTTAGTGTGGTCTTATCGGGGATATACATTAAATTCAAAGATCCCGCCTGTTTAAGAGACCGTACAGTGCCACAAGGGATGTTAAACAAACCCATACAACTTTGCAATTTTTGTCTCTTTGTTGCAGGTTCTGGCGTGGAATGTACAACAGATTTGAGAGTGGCCTCCACCCCCGAGAGAATGTCAATGACATTGTTAGTGCTGCCAAAGATCACAGCTCTTCCTTAGAGGACCATGTCTTGTTGCTAGAAAAGGTGAGGAGAGAATCAGTTTCATTTGTTCATTTTTTTTTTCCAAGTCAAGTTACTTTTTTCCACTTTGGTTGTTTAGTTTCAGCACAAGTTTACCAACCATCTTACAGAGACCAAAGAATGTTGGCGGTTGGTGGGTGCTCTGGTGTGGTTTGCTTCTTCTTTCCTATCAAACATCTATCGTCTTTATCTCCTCTCCTTCTTTTTTGTGTTTGTTACTCTGTTGTAACACCTCTAATCTTTGGCACTTGTATGGCCTTATTGTGTTGCAAGGGCCTTAAAACTCTTCCTAAGACTAAACTGAAGAGACAAAAGAATACAAATGTGCATAGTTAATAAGCTGAGTCACTGTTCTCCTGACTTTAATACTTACAGGAGCTTACTTTTGCTAGACGTCCTTTTCTCTATTCCTGGTCTTGGCTTGTTAGGGTTTTAGTGGGCTTGGGGGGGGTCAGAGGGGCGGGGCAGGAATTATATGAGGATAAAGGAAGCCTTCTACTTCCAGTAGTTTTGTGGTCGTCTTCGGTAGTCTAATACTACATATAGTGTCGGTAGTCTCGTGGTTAGACTGTCGGACTCATAATCGCGAGGTTGCTGATTTGGGGGTGCCAGATTCGGCAGGGCCTGACGTCGTGTCTTCTGGAAAGGCTCTTAGCATGAATTTTCCTGACTTTATCCAAATGGAACTAAATAACCAGCGATGGTCGGAGAAAGATCTTGTTAGTTTGTTCGCGTTTGAGCGCTGAATTGGCTGCTTGCACTGTATGGTTCCCAGGAAGCCGAGAATGTTTCTTAGTGTTCTAGGCTCTGCTAGGGTAATACTAGTTGTAAAAACATAGAGTATAGAGCATGCTGCAGGGCATGGATATGCCCTATACAAATGTTGTTATTATTACTATCAGTATTATTATTATTATTATTATTATTATTATTACTACTATAATCTTCTTTGTAAGCTATTTTTAAGTGGAATCATCTTAGATCTCTTTTGTTTGTTATAGCAGAAATTTTCCCTCTCCATGTGTAGTCCTGTTGTGTTGGATTCACTTTTGTTGTTCTTGTCGAGCAAGTTGATTGTGTCTTTGATTTCTTCTTGATTTAGTCATGTTCTTGGCTAGTAAGTGAATTGTTGAAGCTAACGGTACACTTGGCTGTCCAGTGCTTTAGGCATCCTTTAAAAGAGAACAGAGAGCATTGCGGGTTGTTGGAGGGTGCTGCTAGTAGGTCCTACTTCTTTTCTTTCCTTCTGTAGTTTCTGTCTATCTGCCTTGTGTCTTCCCTGCACTATATCATATGGCCATTACTGTGCCAATACGCTTCTCTCTACACCAATTCTAACATAAGGCATTGATTGTATTGTACTGTTAGTCTAAATAAGAAAGAGTTGGAAGGAGTGATATTGTTCTATTCACAAGAATGTTTTTATTTCAACGCTGAATTTGATTTTAATTCAACACATTTGTTTTGCTTTACTGTTATTTGTTACTGTGATTTAGTTTTCAACTATGATTCTGATACTGTACTGCCAAACACAGATCACTCAAACATGTTGGAGATTGACAATTGTGTTTGACACCTCCATATTTCAAGTTAACAGATAATGAAAAATTAAAGAGATATCAGTCAGGAAATGGCGGGCTGTACAAGTTTTCGGTGATTTCCAGTTTTGTGTTTGTGTTATGTGCGCCCAACTGTATGTTGTTGTTGTTGTTGTCTCTTTGATATCTCTATATTCCACTGTCTTGCAGCTTTATGTGTTTGTGTGTCTTTTAGCCACATCGGGATTATGTCGAGGTAAATTAGATAGATTTTCATTTCGACAGAAAAGATTTCAAAACTGTCTTTGCAGAATCTGGCCCAGCCACAGAAAATTGAATTCTTCTTGTCACCCCTCAGGATCATATGAGATGGGGGGGGGGGGAATAAGATTTTTTTTATTGAATAAGGAGATCATTGTAAAATTGATGACAAAAATTTGCTTTTAATAGTAGACCTTGCTGGGGGAGGAACATTCATATATTCAAATGATGTAGATTGCAATAATTCCTTGAATATGAAACAAATCGACTGCTTAGTGTAAGACTCGCCCGTACGTCATTTTGAAAAGTGACATATATGGCACTGCGCGGAGGAATCAAGCTATTGTCAATTTTTGGGCATACAGGGTTGATGGTATCAACTTACAAGGCCTGTCCATTTTCCTTGTTTTAGGTGAAAATAATATCCATCCGTGTTAAACTGAAGTCGAAATATGTGTGATTGAAGGAGGTGAGGGTCATCTGGTTTCAGAGGTATAATTAGCGAGAAAATGGCCGCCAAAGTTAAGATGTTTCTTTAGCTTGAGAGTCAGTGGAAACTGAAAATTTTACATTTCTTCTGCCTCTAATCAACGTTTTTCAGTAAAATCCACACAGAAATGTGCTCTTTAATATCTATGAAAGGTGTTGAACCAAAAAACAAAAATTCCCAAACCTGAAGGAAAATGCCAATTTCTTGACTTTCATTATTTTGACGAGCGCCTGATTTCACCTAGCTGCCTCACATATGACAGAGTCTGACACTGAGCAGTCATCCCCCTAGGGCGGTGCTACTGACTGAATTGTCTTCTGGCCATTCCCAAAGGGGGGATATTAACATGTTCCTATGCTCTGTAGAATTGTAAATGGGCTGATTTATCAATTTCATACTCATACTTTTGCCAGAACCACATAGGGGGAACTGCTGCTTTTTCTTTCCTCATCCTTACCAACATCATTTTCCCTTTACTTCTTTTATATGTTTGTCACTCTCTTGTGAACTGCTATTTCCGGGGTGCCTTGATAGTCGAAGCAGACTTTGTGGTGTTGAGGCTAGAGAGGTGAGCAGAGTAAGCCTGATTCCCCGTTTGGACTTCTGTTGACATCCACCCCTTGGCGCTCATGTGACCTTATGCTGTTGCGAACGCCGTATAACCTTACTACAACTAATAACTAAAACTGAGCAGTCAAAATGGAAATGATTTACTTCTTCCTTTTCTCTTTTTCTTCTTTTCCTTTCCTGACAACCAGAGAGTGACACAAATATGCAAGCTTTTAGGCAAGTCGGATGAGACAATCCAACGAAAGTTACAGGGTTACCTGTCCATGGACTCCATTGACGGGTTTCTCAGTGGCCATATAGGGGACGGCCCCGCCCCCTCAAAGTCATCCAATCACGATGACTCTATGAAGAACTGTATTGACCTTGAACCCACCTTAAATGGACGATTAGCCGCACAAGCGGACGCTGTGACTGGAAACCACATCAAAAGTGACTCCGAGTCGGGATTTGACGAGTGCAGCTCGCAGATGTCCAGGTCTGGGATCGATGACGTCGGAGCCTTGGAACTTTCTGGACTTGTGCGGTCACCCAGCTCTGACCAGCTGTCGGTGGATCAGCTGATCGCAGAGCTCAAGACTGTTGCTGTGGACTGGAGATCATTCCGGAATGTCCAGAGCTGTAGCTGTGCATCACCGTTTGATTACTATGTCAAGAAAGTAAGTTGGAATATCATTATGGTTCTGTCCTATAGTATTTAAGAAGGATAAGTAGGTTTATTGCAATTTCTGCGGGGGGGGTCCTTTCTTCCATGACTCTCTGGTCTTATTCATCAGGGAGTTGCAAGCTGTAACTTTTGTTGTCACTGTTGTAAAAACAAGCTTCATTAAGATTGTATGAGACATTTTGTAGTGTCTCTGTTTCTATTATTCCATATAATGGTGATGCACTGTAAGTATGAGTACTATTCATCCTAGCTGTGAATTTCAGTCAAAGCTTTGTATGGATGAAGTTTATTTCAGCTATTAAAATGATGTAAATTAATTTATTTATATAAATAAGAAAAATTTTACAAATTTTTAATGAAAGTCGCTGGAAAATTTCGTGTACTGCAATTTCAACCTCCCAATCCCCAAATTATAATTACTATGTCTGAATTATGTCATTCACCTGGAAAATTATTCTGACCTCATACATGGATAGTCTTGATGAGATCTGAATCTAAATTCTGTTTCTACTTGTTTTTTAGTTTTATTTTAGAAATGAGAATTTTGTTGTTCTTAGAAATTTTTATTTTTTTTAAGGGCATGTAGGGCAAACAAAGCTTTATTCCATTTTTCACCAAGTGAATCATCTTTTGAAAAGGAAAACACTGAATAAACAGATTTACAGCGAATATAAACAAAATGAGGGTGTGCTTGACATTCTTCAGATTTATTTCATATAGCAGCTGTCCAATATCTCCTTTAGTCCCTCCCCCCAGCCCGCTACTAAATGTTATTTCACTTTGTGCAGAATGTCCTGGACTCATAGTTAAAGGGAGATGTTTATTGTTTTGATTTAATCACAGCTAAAAAAAATTTTGCTATAGCCCTGTGTTGCTTTCACATCCTTTTAGTGTTGAAGGGTCACGCTTTATCTGACACATCTATGGTTATTTTTTAAATGGAGAGATTTTGATCCACTCTCTGGACACCGAGCCGAGCAAAAAGCAAAAAGTTCTTAGAAGGAAGTGAAAAGTTCAGATCCAACTTTGGATTACAAATGTTGTTAGTGGGTGGTTGGCTTGTGCTCTAGTGCAGTTTGCTCCTTCTTTCCTGTCAAACATCTGTCGTCCTTATCTCTCGTCTTTCTTTTTTGTGTTTGTTTTTCTCTTGTAACACCTGTAATCTTCAACACTATTATGACCTAATTGTGTTGCAAGTGATTTATTCCATTTTTCATGAAGTGAATGATCTTTTGATAACGGCACTTACATAACCTAATTGCCTTGCAAGGGCCATAAAACTCTTGCTAATTGCAAGACATTTTTTCCGTCGTTGGTCCCAGCAGAATTTTGAATTTTATGAAGGCCATTGGCCTTTATGGCAAATTATAAAGTGAAATTGGTACTATTTAAAATTTTTATGTTAACTAGAAATATTGTTTTAGATAGAAAATATATAAATATTTACACTGATTTTTAAACATTTTAACATTTTTAAGATTTAACTACTGACCCTAGCCAGCAGGACAGTAAACTATTGTGAACAAAACTAACTTGTGTTTCGCGCGCTCATATGACCTTATGCGGTTGCGAGCGCCGTAAAACCCTGTACTAAACAAAACAAAACAAACTCTTACTAAAACAATACAAATGCTGTTCTCCTGCATGGTAGCCTAATTTGCCTAATTTGTCGATCAAATGCACCATGGTAGTGATTAAAATTTAATAGCAATTTGCCCATCAATGTCTGACGATGACCAATGCATCCGCAGAGGAGAATATTTCAGAAGCAACATTTTTTTAATGAAATGCTAAGATGACTTGCGGCTTCTGGTGTGGTCAATGAGACCAATTCTGGTTGAGAAAAGTTTGCCACTTTTTGAGCATTCAAAAGCTCCACTTTTGACTTTCACAAAATAGCAGTGGAGCCCCAGCTTTTACACATATGTGATTTTTTGTATACATATGTATGCATATGATAAGCCTACCTTACATTATATTCTTCCCTTTTTCTTGTTTCTCAGTTCCATTGTTGGAAGTGTGGTGAAGTGTTCTGCGTGAGATGCATCGCCCGCAACATCTCTCTGCCCGGCCACTACCACCGCAAGCCCGTTCCTGTGTGCAAGCCGTGCTACAAGGAGGTCAAGAGGTCACCAAGCGTAGAGTTTCCAATCAGCTGACCATAACGTTGAGAGTTAAGACCTTCAGTGTAGTTATTTATTTGTTAGCTCACAGTCCAGTTTCTGTTGTGGAACATTCTGCAATAGAGCAAAAGTTCACAGTACAGCAAAACCCTTTAAAAAAAGACTCATGAAAACATTTCTTTTCTTGATAAATAAAGTACTGGAACAGTGTGTTGCTTGTGCTCACTTTTCATTTCATGAGATTTTAAAGTTGTAGGGGGAGAAACTGTCAAACTGAAGGGTAAAACGGAAAACAGTAATTGCATATAGTGCTTTTTTTCAGCAATTTTAAAAATGAAATATAATTTACTACAAAATCAGGCGCTTGTCAAAATTATGAAAGTGAAGAAACTGGCATTTTTCTGCAGGTTTGTGAATTTTTATCGAATGTTTGTTTTTAGCTCAACACCTCTCATGCCCATTGAAGAACACATTTCTATGTAAATTTTATTGAAAAATGTTGATTACAGGCATAAAGGATGTCAATTTCAGTTTCCACGAACTCTCAAGCTAAGGAAATAACGCAGCTTTGGGGGCCAGTTTCTTGCTAATTTTGCTACCCCACCTACTTCAATTGCTAATATCTTCACATGTATTCAAGATAAATGGGTATTTTGTCCATCAAAAGCAAGGCTAATGGACAGGTTTTAAGATCATACCAAAACTTCATATGCCGGAAAACTGACGAGCGCCTGATTCCACCGCGTCGTGACACATATGAAAATGAGACTCCGTGTAATATAAATTTTTTTAGTGGGATTGATACTGCTAGGTTAACCTTTTCATAATCCCTGAGCACACGAATGACCGACCATAACGGTTTGAGACCAAATTTTGCTGTGAATGGCCTATAGAATGTGCGACCAAGTTTTGTGATCAAGTTGTTTTCTTGTCAATGCTCTTTCTTGTTCAACTGATTTGATGTGTTCAGAGATTCCGATGTTACATTTCCAAATATATTGATTGGTTTTCATTGTTTTTGCTAATTTTTGTACAAGTTTGCAAACGGTATCAGAAGTTTCTTTTTTTTAAGAATTAAAATGTAGGAAAAAAAGTAAGTCATAAAGTAGTAAGAAATGGTTTTCTAAATATTGCCATGATGAATGACACTGCAAAGTGAGAAATAACAAAACCATACATGTGCGTAATCGTGTACTGGGTGCTGTAAATAAGCTGCCTATGTATTCTTCAAAGTAGATGAAGAAGAATATTCTTTTGGCAATTTGTATGAGACAGAGTACAGTCCAGGTAAAGTTGCGTTTCATGTCCATCTAAATGTATACTTTTCTGCAAGTATGGTTTATTTTGGTCACAACTCTTTAAAACAGCAACTGGAACACTTGCTTTTGCATTATAGTCTCAAATAACAATTTTCCCTCTATCAACATAAGGCTTCCTCATTCATACTCTTTTGCACTAATTTGGTCTCTCAATACTTATTTCTGGGCATGTATATTAATACTCCCTACCATATTTATATTATTATTGTCAAAATTTCAGGAAAGCGTTCAAAGGTCATTCAGGCTTTGAAAAGATTTGGGGTACTGAGCTTTCACTTGCTCTGACCACTTCCTGATTTCTTCAATGTCTATAGCTTGAGCAATACCTGACCTTCACACTTTTTTCTTTTTTTCTTTCTTTTTTTTTTTCTCAGCCATTGTATACCTCCACTCCCCTCACCTATGCCAATTCCTATCCATTTCATTCCGTTTTCACTATTTATTTATAAATACCAGTTGAAGACAAATAGAATTATTTAACATTACCTTATATATGATTTTTGCTCACCCTGATGTGTTTGTGGTGCTCATACCTCATCAAACGATTTTGATTTTTGTACTGTTATTTTCTTATATCCCATTTCTCCTTGTATGCCTGTATACTTTTTTTTTTTTCAGCCAAACTACAAACATCTCTGAGTTGACTATTCACCATGTTTGTAAATGCCTGAGATTGTGAATGTTTTTGCATATTTCTAGGTGCTATTGATTGCACTATGCCAACCCAAGCATAGATGCCAGTTCCACCGTTATGTATTTGATGAAGATGTCAGCTCAAAGTATCCACCTGGGGGGGATCTGCATGTTCATGAAACTTGCCCTATTGTATGTTGTATGTGTTGGGAGTTGAGGAGTGAAAAAGAAGGGAAACGGAAACTTGAGATGCTTTGTTCAGCAGTGATATATATGTGTGTGCTTTGTTAATTTTTTTTCTTTAACATTAATACTAGCTGATAGGTAAATCACAAGTGGATTTTTTTTTACATCTTTCACTTACTTTTATGTAAGGAGGTGAGAAGTACTGTCCAGTGTCCATCACTCATTAAATCTCTGAGAGTAGTCTCATCACATTACCAGGGAAAGATGGGAAACAGAGTAGAAATAATGTGAATAGTTGAACCAATTATCATCTTTTTTACCTTGTATAATACCGGGTTTTTCATGCCATCTATTTAGTTGATTCAAAGTGCGCAAATCATTTCAATTATTATGTTCCATCGGCTAAACAAGAGTGGGGAAAATAATTATATTGTGTGTACTTTGCTGTGATAATGATGCTACTGAAGTCACAACGTCTGGTGTGTTTATTAAGTGGAAGACAATTTGAGGGCATTGCGTAAATCAGGTGTCATAAAATACCTGAATTGGGGAGAGGACATGATTTTTCAAAAGCCTTTGCATAAAATTGAAGTGCTTACGTCAATCTAGTTATCTCAGACGTAAACTTGTTTTTATTGTCATCACTAACATTAAACCTTTTTAAAGTTTAGAATGGCTGATGCATTTCTTTCTATTGCACAAAAATTTAGAAAAGAGAAAAAGTGTATAGGGGGTACAACTTTGAATCAAAATAATGTGTGTTGATTTTTTAATTGGAATTTTTTTTCATTGTGTATCGTCAGTTTTTGTTGTGGTTTTTTTTTTGGGGGGGGTTTGGGGGTTGTGCTGTTGTTGTTGTTCTTTTTTAGGGGGAGGGGGTTTTTTTTGGGGGGGTGTTCTAATTGTACATATAATGTTCATACACTTCCATGAAATTCAGGATTTGTCCCCCATTGATTTTTCTCCTAACATTTAAGTGGGAAATATTTCCTTGCAAGTTGTTTATGATATTGAGTGTTGTATAGGCTAAAAAACTGCTAGCAGTACCCTATTTTTGTGTTTATCATGTGCTTCATTATCCTTGAGCGAAGAAAGATTATTTTTTCTTTGGAGTGAAGGTGGAAGTTGGATTATGGCTTGTGTGGCAGTTTTCCTAAGTTTTAGCTGGTCGTAGGTAGAAAGATGTAACCAAACTATTGCATTGTTTGAAGTTTCTCCTGTAAGAACATATTATAATGGTTTTATTAAGGGGACAGGAGCTTGTCAAGTTTCTGAATTCTAATTGGTTAGCGCAGTCAGATTATTGATCTGCAGTACATTGTTTATTTAAGTTTTAGTCCATAGTTGTTAAGTTTTAAACGTTTTTCTTTCTGCACCAGTATTTTGTAACTTTCTTTTACAAAAGTCAAGGCACTGGTTTTAAGCTTCCTTGGTATGGAAATAAGTTGTTCCGTCTCAAAGATACTACTTTCAGTCCAGCTTCATATTTCCTAGTCACCACAGAAAGTACGCAAAGGAAATGTTGACTACTTCCAACCATACATATATATGTACTTGGATGGTTCTGAAATTTGAATGCTTTGTTGTTGACTAGAAATTTCTGAGCATCTGAGGCGTTCATTCATCGCGAGGCGTTCGTTCATCGCGAGGCATTCGTTCATCGCTCATGATGTTCATATATTATATTATATTTTCAGTCTTGCGTCTCGTGTGAATGACTGCTTTGCATCTCGGTATCACATGACTGACTAAACTAAGGGCCGAGATATAATTTTCCCAGGAAGTTGTACTTGTACGTGTGTTACATTGCTCATCTTCAGTTTGCGTTAAAACATGATCACTGAAATATCAAAATTTCATTCAAGCTTCTAGAAGACATGTGATTCATACCATTGTTTGAGCCTGCTGTTGTCAGAATATAATCATGTCATGATATGCTGGCATTGCTACATTGCTGTAAGTTTCATATGTCTGACTCAGACCATTTTCTCGTCTTTCTAGAAGATCACTATGTACATATATGATATTGCTTAGTACTGTTTTGTCCTGTAGTGAGAAGATTAACTTAACCTGTGGGTGAGCTCAGGTAAAATAAAAATCATTAGACACCAGCACTGAAATGTTCGCCTTTTTTTGTTTAATTTATGTCCAGTGCTCTTTGTCAAAGAGCATAATTTCCTCAACGTAGTTAAAATGATGAATGAATACTTCTGACTTTTTCTTATTTTTAACGTCTTTGGTTTCATCCTTGGTGGGCTAATGAAACGGATCATTAGTTTTTGTGATATAGTCAATGCTTATGGACCCTGGTTACATTTTTCAAGATCACGAACTATTGGGGTAAATACATCTATCACTGCCTGTGTATATATTATTCTTAACTAACAGTAACAAGACTATGTGAGAAGCTGAAGAGAGCAGAAAATCATTTTTGTCGGATTGAAAATTTGCAGATGAGTATATGTGTTTTTCCCTTGCACTTTTCACTGTATAAGAATTAATTTTGATTTTTCCGCAGATGGCGGCTGAAACGTACTTTTATCAATATTGGACCATCAAGGAATCTTAGTTTAACATGCGCATTTTGCACTCGTGATTTTTCGCCCTTATCCGAGAAGGCCGGATGTTAAATCTCACCTACCCTAAGATCAGGGGTGTACTGAAAGACAGCAGTAAGAAGGAGCCTAGGAGTAGCAGTAGGAAGGCTGCAGAAAAGAGTCAGGACCCTAGTGGGGGCACAGGGACGACTAGGGTGAGGATAGAAAGTGGAGACAAAAGCAGATGACAGAACATGGTTAGAGAGCAGGAAAGGAGGTGAAAGGAGAAAATTCTAGAGAAGAAAATTTTCCGTCGCTGTCAGGTTTCGAACCCGCAACCTATTGAACACCGCAACTTCTAGAACACGAGAGCCTCCAAATCTTGATTTTACGCAGACTCCACTGTAGTTCAATGACCATACATTCTTTACTTCTCAATATTCAAACAACTTTTAAAATATACACCTTGAGAGAGCTTACAATACAGTAGAGCCTGCCCAGGACGATATCCCATTGTCAAGAAGGAGAAAAGTGATCATCACAGGTGGTCCACTATGATAGTGTCATTATAACATAAAAAACGCAAAAGAGGGGAAGTAGTCGTTTGTACATGCGATTGTCTTGGACAGGTGGTCGTTAGAGCAGGTTCAACTGTAGTTCAATAAACATTCTACCTATGCATGGTAGGATACTGCTGATCGCTTAAAGGAATCTGGAACTGAGTGAAATCAATACA